TGCCTGTTTCAGCAACAAACCTGCCATGTTGCTGAGAACCTTGGCAGCATCTGGATATTCAGGACCCAGGGCTTGTTGGATAGTCTCAATGGCTCGACTGTACAAATGCTCTGAGTCCTTGTGCTTGCCCTAAGCGCGACAACACGGGGTGAGAACGTCGTCCATTGCAGGTTGTGGGCACATGAACGCTGCAAAGGAAAAAAAGCAAGAGGCATGTGTGTAATGCTATCCTGGTTCTGTCAACAGGAGTTCATTGCCTACATATGTCGATTCGTGCGTGTGGACAAAATGCATCGAATCGTCGACATCTCCCCTGGTTGTGTTGCAGCTTACTTTCTCACCTGACTTGTCAGCAAATCTGCCCGACTGCTCAGGGTCCAAGCCAGATCGGGGTTGCGGGCACCCAACGATTCAACCTGAATCTGAATAGCTCGCATGTATAGAGAGTCTCCTTCTTCGTTTTTCCCATATGTGTTTCGGAATGGCGTAAAGAAGACCGACACCCAGCGGAGGACCAAGATCACAAGGAATCTACAATCGTGTTTCGGATGTCTGGCAGGGTACACATCCAGTGAAAAGCTCACCAGAGCCTCCTTTAAGTTTGTACACATGCATTGACTGAGCATAGGCAGGCGTGAAAAAAATGTTCGATCACCACTTACGTGGCTCTTGGACAATATCCTGGGTGTCTCAGCGGATCCACTCACCTGATTCTGAAACAAGTTTGACCGCACCCTAAGGGTATCAGCGAGATACGGGTGGTCAGGGTCGAGCGCTTTCTCTTGGATCTGGATAGCTCGCATGCCAAGAGCGCCTCCCTGTTCATACTTACCCTACATGGAATGGTGAGAACACCAAGGAGAAGGCCAAGCTGTGCACTGTCAGACACTGCACGTTTCAGGGAATCCCGTGATAAGGCCACTACATGCCATTCAGAGTGTGAACTCCCGCATACTACGGTATATCCCGGAGTGAAACAAACATGTCGTAAGCAGATAGAGTGGCTAGCAACATGGAGATTCGATCACCATCAAGAAGACTCTCGCCCATTGCATGTAGATACCTCAGCCGACACTCTCACCTGAGCTCGCAGCAAGGTCGCACGCTGACTGAGTGTATGGGCAAGCTCAGGGTGGTGATCACCAAGCGCCTTCTCTTGAATGCCGATTGCTCGAATGCAAAGAGAATCTCCCTCTTTGTACCTGCCGTGCTCGAGATTTATTGTTGAGCGGAACAATAATCGTAAAAAAATGGGGAAAGGTGAAGTGCCGATGAGCCTGTAAATCCGTCTTGAGTGTAAATCAGTGTCAATGTGGACGACTTGCCTGCTATCACCATGGTGATTCACCCCGTGAAACAGCCCAAGTGGTGCTGTCTTCACTTGCTCAGTACGTACCAACATCCGTGCTGATCCAACTGATGCAAATGCCTGCCGTGTTCACAGGCGACCCCCCCATATGAAGACAACTACCCTGAGGTCCACGCGCCGACTGAAAGGGACCAACAGGTAGCACACTGTCGGTGCACGGCATTCTATAGGAGCAACGGGTGGATGTGTAGAGGTAGAGAGAGGGTATAGGAGATGACGGATCATCACGGAAGGAGCGCATGACATGCCACAATCGACACATGTGTTCCGCAATCCGTACAAATCTATCGTCAGGATGGAGAAGGCAGGGTCCAGGGTGTGGCTTGAGGAGGTCTCTGCTCCATCACGGTGTTCTTTGTATTTCAACCTACCCATAGGGGAACTTCAACTGTTCGCTTGTAGCATCCACAGACAACCTTCCTTGCATCCAACAAACTTGGCGAACGTTTTCAAGGGAATGTTTGCATTTGTCACCGAGTCCGACGTTCTACTACACGCAATCTCAGCAGTACAGCCTCGCAGGCCTCGTGTTGTTCCGACCATCAGGGAAGGAGGACACTGTGTTGGCGTGGTGTGAGGTCGGTGTTTGCCGGTCTATTCCGCCTTCGGTGTTTTTCTCCAACGAATAGTCTAGAGCTAACTACCTAGGTTGTGGGTTCGAATCTCCAGTCTGAACCACTTGTGGAACAAAATTATTAGAACGACAATGAACAGGGCATTGTTGGTGAGTACCCGCGCATAAAAGGGGGAGCGCCTGCTGAACCCCTTTGGCGTCAGCTAACTACCTAAGTTGTGGGTTCGAATCTCCAGGCTAGGACACTTGTGGAATAACAATATTAGAATACCAATGAACAGGGCATTGGTGGTGAGTACCCGCGCAAAAAGGGCGAAGGGCCTGCTGATTGCCTTTGGCGCCAAAATCTTTTGCTGAACGGAGCTTCCCTCTGTGCGAATAATTTCACCCACGACGAAAATAACATTGAGTCAAACGGGCAGCTGTGGACTCGATTGTACGCATGGTCGTCGACTACTAGCGAAAACACGGATTGTCTGTAGCAACAGCCTTGGTCTCTCTAGTGGCTCGATTTCACGCAAGCACATGCTTCAATACTCCCCCGCCCAACCTGCCCTTAACGTGAGCCAGGTAGCAACAGCCACCTTCCAGACTACCGTGAAATGGTGAATCCTGCCAGAGAATGTCAGTCGACTCTATCACCTGACTCTTCGTCAAGTTCGCCCGGTCAAGTAACGCCATGGCTATTTTAGGGTGGTCGAGACCCAGCGTCTTCTCGTGGATCACGATAGCTTGAACGTTCAGAGAGTCCTCTTCTTCATACGTGCCCTTCGCGCGGTGACAAGATGTAGATCAACGTCAGTGAAGACCGAAGTACATATCGGCGACTGCAACCCCGCCCCGATGCGCAGCAGTGTTCTACGAACCCACGGGGGCTGTTTGCCCGTCTATCAAACCTCATCTAGAGTTTGGACCCCCACGAACCCTAACCCCAACGAGGGACCATACCATGGCAGGCATGAGGGCGGTCGGGGCATTCTTTGCGTGCCGCGGTCGATTCTCTCACTTGTTTCTCCAGCAAGAGTGCCCGTGAGCAGAGGGTGCAAGCAACGAGTGGGTGGTCATGACCGAACGAACGCTTTCTCGTGGCTCTCAACGGAACGAACGAAGAAGTAATCTGCTTCTTCGTATTTGCCCTACACGCACGTTGCAGCGGGGATGATGCATATTCGGAACAGGAGCACACGAAGGTGTCAGTATTGGTCATGCAGCCATACAGAGTTACGCATGTCCCAAGACACACCTGATTCGCCGTTGACCGGGCGTGACCGGACGTGCTCAAGTGAAAGCCTGGTTGTTCTTGTCATATACATGTGATCGGGGGCACAGAAGGTATGTTGATGTGGTCGCTCTGAAAGAAATCATAACATCGTGCACATGTCGTAGACGAAGATTATTCCATACCCAAGAAAACGACTAGCGGTCTCGGATTCCCGTCACATACAGAGGACGCTGGGAATTTTTTCGTAGTGGTGGGCAAACAGAACCAGCAATGGCCACAGGAGGGCTTCTAATGAGCTGATTTCATTAGTACGAAAGAGGGGCAACACAGCACACGCCATCTCGCACGCGCGCCGCGTTACGCCTTGCCTCCAGGCGAATGTTCGTAGATAATTAGATCTTCGTATTCTCTCTCGTTTCCGCCATGTCTAAGAGGAAATGAAGAAACAATCATATGTGTTTCTCGGGAGAGAGGAGTGTTTGGGACATCATGGTGAGGACATCGTTGGCTAGCCCTGGGCATTCCATATAGTCTAGGGTTAGGGTGGGGTTGTCCCAGTATGCCCCAGAACAGCGATAAACGAAGCTAGTGGCATGACCTGGATCTGGAAGGTACTCCAACAAGTGCAGCAACAGGTACCATTCGGAAACTCTGACAAAACTCGAAAAATCGTAAAAGCCCGGGCTTCGTCGTTGTTCTGAGAAAGTAGTTCACAACACACCGTCTGCATCGCGGCGTGGCCGGATCATGGGACGTCCAGACGGGAACGAAACCAAGTCGAAGCGCCGGGGGCAGCATCTGTATGAGATGTTTTCCTTCCCCAAATATTTGCCGGTGCCGAGTCTTCTGATTGAGGACGAATCTACTGCTCTCGACCTTGAATCCGAAGAAAATTCTCTCGTGGAGGATGTGGATGACGCCATCGACGAGGACTGGCACGGTACATAATGATGCTGTCGGGCCCTGGATGCAGTGAGGTGGTATTGTCGACGTTGCCCCGAATATAAGTAAAATTTACGGAGCAAAATGTTGTTTGGGGCTACAACTCCCTCTGCAGCCTCTAAAGTCGTTACCGCGGTGTCGGCAGCAGTTCGATCCGTCATGCAGAGGACGCCCGAAACGATCAATACAAACGCCGAAAGACTACCCTTATGTACATGCACCGCCGGCTTCAAAGTGTTGCAAATGCGATGATGCTTGCCATTTCTCACCGATTAACACACAACCAAGGCGTCTTGACAAGATAACATCGAGCGATTTGAGAGCGGGAAGTGCACAAGTAGTTGGCAACGTCGGATAATATCAAACCCCACGGCCTTGGGTGACGTTTGAGAAAGACAGAAAACGATCAAAGCTGGATCGAGTAGCCGGGATGCACACACCTCTGCGTGAGCCTCCAAAAACATGAAAGGTGTGTATGGTAAAACAGCGTGAGACATGGGAGTCAACTGAAGATTCAACTCACCTATCGTTTCACTGGACCCCCAGATTTACCGTGTCGGTTGTTTGCCCTAAACAAAAACAAACTGGGGTCAATTTTGTGCACCGCACCTGCGGCGACAAGCACGTGCCAAGATTGAGCATCGCATTGGCTCCCATGTGCGCTATCCATCTCCTCTCGAGCTCGTACTTATCCGTCGACAGAATTCGTGAAAAATCCTCGGTCCGAGACAGATCCTAGCCGGACAGAAAAGTAATGTGAGAGCGGCACCTGTCGACCACATGTTTGAGAACTTTCGAGTTGAAAGAAAAGGTGTGCAACCAAACAATTAATGTAGGTATCGAAGACAGCGTTGCTGCACGGATCTCGGGCCGCAGCAAGCGGGGTAGTGTGCTCATGCGCTTCGGGTTACCTTCCGTAGGGCCTCCTCGGCCAGGACGAAGTGCCCAGCAGCAGAAAGCAAATCCGTTAGACAGCTCCCAGTTCCATACCAGTTGCTGCGAGCCAGGCGGACCATTTCCTCCACTGTCTCAGGGGACAGGTTCTCGAAGATATGGCTAGCCGTCATCTCCTTGGTTACCTTGAGCTCCCGCGCCCACTCATACACAGCATGCTGGCCGCTCTTCAAGTTGTAGAACCGTTGCAAGTGTAGCTGAATCTCGCACAGATGATCGTTTACAACGGGGTTGACCTTGACATCGCGATAGCCGCTGGGCATCCAGTCGGAGATGAAACCGTTTTTTACCCGGCGAATATCCTGTGGCTCCACAAGGCACAGAATATGGGGTCGTGGTGATCGCACGTAGACTACGTGTGAATCGATCCAGTGTTGTGCGTTTTCGCATATTTCGTGCTTCTGAAGTGTTCCACCTTGAACATTTTTGGGAGAGAGCTTGCCGTTCGTCGAAATCAATGGCCGGAGGCTTCTCGGGAGCATGCGGGAATCGACTGGGGAAATGAGGTTGATCTGAAAGGATTTCGCCAGAGTCTACATGGGTGGTTGCCGTTGCCTCATTTGAATGGCTTTCTCTAGCTTTCGAAATTGGTACAGGGAGAGCTCCATATCAGACATTTCATCACAGCCAGATGTATCATCGTGTTCCGAGGTTCACCCCAATAGAACAATAAAAGGACGCATGTAGATCTGGGCCGTATGAAGTAATGTCGATGTCGCACTCCACGGCCAATACATCAAGCTACAACCTTCGACGCGGTTGTCTACACGTGTGGTGGCAAGTGAGATACCTGCGGGTTGAATGCGATTTAACTGCGATTGACGTGTTTTAAGTGTCATTCGTGCACACAAGCTCTTCGAGCATGCACTGAAAAAGATGCTGATCTCGTTCCAGGAATACCTCCTCTTCAGTCCGATTCAAGACAAAGCATCAACGGTTTCCTTGATCACACGCTTCCCCGAAACTAACGTTCGAGAAACCTACAAACCCAGATCCACGGTACGGATGGACCGTGTACATACATGAATTCGTTGCTTACCTTTAGACGCTTCATGATGCCCAAGTTTACCAGTTTGAGCTGCTCCGCTTCGTCGAACACCACCACCGTGTTTTGGAGCTAGACCACTCAGCCACCCGGTAAAAGGTTCACCGTTTACCTGGCTGAGACAGGACCTTATAACACTCTCTAGTTTCAAGGAGTGATGCCGTGGGCGGTGGCTTGCTCCTGGAGATAGATGAAGATTCTGTCATTGACAAGCTTGTCCACGACCACGCTGAGATGGGAAAGTTGCTTGTTATTGCTGAGGGACGATCAGCAAAGGTCTGGGATGAAGAGGGGATCCAACTTCATCTCAGNATAACACTCTCTAGTTTCAAGGAGTGATGCCGTGGGCGGTGGCTTGCTCCTGGAGATAGATGAAGATTCTGTCATTGACAAGCTTGTCCACGACCACGCTGAGATGGGAAAGTTGCTTGTTATTGCTGAGGGACGATCAGCAAAGGTCTGGGATGAAGAGGGGATCCAACTTCATCTCAGGGGGTACACAGAGTAGACAATCCTAAGGGGGTAGGGGTCAGAAGGGTATACCTCCTGACCGACCCGCATGCTATCAAGAATAAGATGTACCCTATTCATCCTAGCAGCCACACTCCTTAACACTAGCTCACCCTGAATATCATGTGCAGATTCTATACTCAAATCATTGCTCAAATCCTAGTCTAAAGCTACAATAAGATTTTAGCTGATGATTTATGATCATGAATCGAAGACATGACTCTTCACAAAACATCCAAAAGGAGGGTGAGTTGTAGAAATATCCCGAATCAATCCCCCACACCATCATTGAGATGAAGAATGCGAACGGTCCCGAGACGGAACATCGACATCTCAATGAGAACGCTTGAAGGGATAAAGCTACGAAGAATATATATTGCGGCAGAGCACGCTCTCATCCTGAACAGACGACGACAGGGAAAAAAAATCAATATCCAGACGCCACACACCACTCTTTTCTGCGCACCCGCGCGTATCACCGCTGGAGGAACGAGGGTGACTACCCGAGCGAGTCCAAAATATGGTGACGAAGCTCAAAACCCAAACAAATTTCCGAACGAATATGGCCTTTGATACTGGACGCGACGCAAAGGGAAAACCCAACTCAATCTAGGACGTTAACGAAGGGCAGGAGAAAAGGACGACAGGCAAAGGCACGGAGAACGATGGCCAGCGTGCCAGGATACCCAACTCATATAAGGAGACGGCAGGGGCAAGAACTATTGAGGACCAAGGATGCAAAGCACAAGCGATCTTGCAAGAGAGACGGTCGACGAACTGCGCCATGGCTCGCTGGCGATACGCATAATTCAAATATATAAAAACACAGAAAAGTCGTAGAGATTCACACAACAAGACGACGACTCAGGGGCGCTACTGTGATGAAGGCGTCGCCCGAAGGTGGCGATGATGGAGACGAAGCAAAACGAAGTGTGGGTGACGACGAAAATCCATGGGAGAAGGCGACGCCACGGGATGGAATCCCGAAGCACCAAGCGTATGCGACACTTCTGCGGTACGATGGAACTAGAACAAAAAACATTTAAGACAAAATTAGTTGGCAAACAGGCGAACCAGGAAACGCGGGGAACTCGGTGTCCAAGTGTCCCGAGGCAAACATCACCGACGAAACTTGGGGAACTCGTTTTTCAAGTGTTCAGGGGCAGACAACACGGACGAAACTTCGGAGGGAGCTTGTTGAGAGAACCAAAGACCAACAACAACAACAATAAATTGAAGCAAAGGCGAGAGAGAGCAGGCATCCAGGTCGCGGCGCGGCGTTGCCCCAGCGTTCAAAACAAAATAAGCCAACGAGAGAAAAGAGACAAAACAGAAAAACAAACAAAACAAAATAAAACAAAACCGAAGGTGACAGAAAAAAAAAATGGCAAAACGTCGGCGAGAAGGATGGCACAAAAGACCAAAATGGGCCGATTGGTATATGAAAACGATGACGCTAAGAAGAAACGGCGGGAACAGCCGACGGTAAGGAATCAGCAAGGCGCGGGGTGCGACCACGGTTGTCGCCCAGAGGGCGCGAACGATGTTTCTATAAGCACCATGATCCACAGACGGCGTCCAAGGCGGTGGAGTAGAGATGCGCAGGCAGAGGCAGAACGCTTGGGCCCGGGTCATCCAACAATCGAACGATGTACGAGCCGCCCTGATGAGCACCAAATCGTTCGGTCCAACACAATCCATCACGGGCCTTGTACCACAGCCGCGCGCCAACAGGGAGGGGCGAAGTGCTGAAACGGCGAAGCCAAGTCGCATTAAGCACAAGATCAGCCCCAGGAGGCAAATAGCGTTCTCCACGATTCCGGGCTAGCTCCCGCTGTGCCGCGCGAGTCCGAGCGACTCGATATGTACGGTTACCCTGCGTGCTTTGGCAGGCCTCCCGGGACCAGTGCAAGAGGATGTGTCGACGGAATAGATCAAGGTCGGATTCCCGTTCCCATGAAGGAGTAGTCAGGCCTACCCAATGCGTCTGGTACAGGACAGCGAGAACGCCGCTACGGCCCCGCACCAGTTGATGTCCCGAGATGTAGTCGACCTCGAGGCGCCCGACAGGCACCGACACATCATCCGCGGTGACGTGGAAAGGTGGACATTTATCTCCGAAGGAGTGCAGAACATAACGCGTAAGCTCGGCGGGCAGAGATTGCGGCAAGTCGTCCGTTTCGTACGGATTGCGACAGGGCTTGCAACGAAGGAAGACACGCGACAACGAGCTGCCGGGCCGGAAAGATCGGAAGGCAGGTCCAGGTAGAGGAGTTTATGCGCCAACGGGCGGCCGTCCGGAGTGGCGTCGGCAGAGGTGGGACCCACTGCCAGAACTTTGTAGGGCCCCGTCCATGAAAGTGCGAATTTGGCCTTGAGCACCTGTCGGTCCGTGTCCTTCTGCACACCCTGCGAATTGTAGCAGCCGTGTTGTACACCCAAGCCCACCCGCCAACGGTAAACTGAGGGAGCTTGTGGATG